TCTGCGAGAAACAACGGCTGGATCTCGGTAGAGATACAAATTTGATAAGCAACAGCCAGAAATAGAACCAGAGCTGTCGGACAACACTAGTCCTTCCTCAGTGGCGAGTGAGTTAATGTAGAAAAAGCTAGAAACAACTGGCTAGGTGAGATGACCATAAACATCATGAACAAAGAGTGAACAAGAAGGAAAAAAAAATATATATATATATGCCTATATATATACATAGGCCTATATATATATTCGGTATAGAATATTTAGAAACAACAACAATTCTGATAAATATATCGAAAAACGAATACAATGCTGGAAATAATATTAAACTGTATATTATTAAACGATTTTGAGAACATTAACGGCATTAGGACCACTTTATGCTGCATTCCATTTTCATGAATGTGTATTTTATACGACTGTTATCGGCATATTTAAATAAAAGTTTTATGACCCATTAGATCGTTTTTAAGTCACTATAAATAATATTACAATTTATTAAATTAATTAAAATTATTTAGATAAAAAAATTATAAAATGTATATACAAACAATGATTTTGAGAACATTAACTGCATTAAGGTCATGAATTTATATATATAGGCGTACTGCATTTAAATTAAAACGCATTATACGACTCACGGATCGTCTTTAAGTTACTATATAAATAATATTACACTTTAATAAATTAATTAAAATGATAACACTTAGTACAGTAACCTACTTTTTAAAAGTAGATTTACATTGTTGAATGTAGGTTGCAAAAACATGTGCCTACGACTATACGGTATGTCATTACACAACATATATTTAGCTCTGTTTTTACTGTTGTTTACATTTTCACTTAGATATTCCGGTTTAATGTCATTGTATGAAAAGGACTCAAAACAATTTTAGAGCAGTCTCCAGTCTGAAAATGTAGGCCTGAACAGCAACACAACAATGGATACCGCAATTAAATCTAACACCAAGAAAGCATACAGGCTTATATAACTACAGTATGGTACACTACTTACACTAACCTATATGTATTACCTTACTTAGAAGAAACACCATTCCAAAATTCAGTATTTCAGAAGATGTTTTTGTGACGACGTGTCTACGACACACAGTTCCGGTAGTTCACATACAAGCTTGCTTCAACCGTAATTTGGATATTATAAACAGGTGCACAACCAACCAAGTATCTGAAGGAAAATTGCTGCCAAGGACAGTAGTGCCCTACCAGGCTAAACCTACAAATTATTAGTCCAGCGCTCACTCCTTCCTTATTAGCGTCCACCCTCGAATTGGTCTAACACTGGGGCCGAAACGGTATCCGACCAGTTTGTCAAAATCCAGTTTGCCGAACCCATGATTGCCGAATTAATTGCCTCTTTGCCGAAACTGAGTTTACCGAATCGGGTTCTCGGAAATCATGACAACCCAGATTGCCGAAACCCAGTTTGCCTAATCATTTGCCGTCATCATCGTACAAAAGTACAGCAGACTGTGCTTTTGAAAACATGATGGGTGGATCAGGGAGGAGCCATATTTACATTCCCGTATTTGTTACCCGTGTAAACGCTCCGCTTTGAGTAAACTCCCCTTCTAAAGCCTCATTTGGAATAAACGCATCTTTTGAAAACACCCCGTGCCGTATATTCTTTTCTCGAATAAACTCCCCCTTGACTGTAAACAGATCTAATGGAAATATCATTCCCAACACTTTCTACTGATGTTTTACTCCAGTAGAATTACATTTCAATTACAGTGGAATTAAGGGGTGTTTTAGTATACGTATCTATTTTACAAAATAAATAAATAAATAAATGCCTGCCTCGAATAAACACCTCCCTAGAATAAACTCCCCCTCAAAAACACCAAAAAACTCCTAACGCGAACACATTGATTTTTTTTATGCCGGGACCCTGGCAGAAACTCTAGTCAGCCCCTTGATTCGTGTCTATAATTATAGATTATTATTATTTATTTATTTCATTTAGGTATACATAGGCCTATTATTATCTTAATTAAACTGTAAACACTTATTATAAATATGCTTTTTATAAATATGCTTATTTATAAGACATTTAATCTGACAGGCCTATTTAATTATTTTTTTGGTGACAG